CGGGGAGGGCGACTTCCTCTGTTCTCCTCCCGCACAGGCCTGTCCCGGAACGGGCCCCTGTACCCCCGGATCCTGCCCTCCGTCCGCCGGCGGCTGGTGCGGCCCCAGCCCGAGAGGAAGAGCCAGGGCTCCCTCCTCCTGCCGCCTCCCTTCAGGGCTGTCGCCGAGGGAGCGCAGCACGTCTGACTTCTCAGTTTGTGCTTGACTCTGGGGGTGGCGGTCTCAGACCACAGCTCAAGGGGCTTCTGTGCCTCCTGTGTGTGTTCCCTACTAACCTGCCAAGACGAGAGAAAATTTCCACCTTTCGTCTCTTTGGCATAACCACCGTGCGTCTTATGAGGTTAGGGACTTGGCTCCTGCAGTGCCGTTACCAGTGGTTCTCCAAGTGTGCACCCCAGACCGCAGCATCGCCCTTACCTGGGAACTTGTTAGAAACGCAGGTTCTCAGGGCCCATCCAGACCTCCTGAATCAGAATCTGTGATTTAGGACTTTTGTGTTTTAAAAACCCTCCAGGTGATGCTGAAAAGTTCACTGAAGTTTGAAAGCCACTGCCCTGCAGAATACGCCCTGCTCATAGTACGCACTCAAATATTAGTTGAGTGAATGAAGGAAGCTATTGTAATGCCAGTATGTTCTAAAACCCTGTAACCTTTTTACATGTAAACTTTAAATTGAGTTCCATCTCAACCGTCCAAATGTGATCCAGAATCTAGGGACAGGGGCACAGACATAACTATGACCTGAATCTGCTTTCATGAGGCCCTGAGTTTAGGGCTTCAAACTTAATTTATCGTATTAATTTGCCATACTAGGAAACTAATGGAATCCTGTACCAATACTTTGTTTTGACATAGGGATGCAAGTCAGGAGAGGCTCAAGAAATGGGGTCTCTTGGAAGGCAGTATCCCTGTAAAAGAATATCATGCATAGGACCCTAGGTGTCCAGGCTAGGGCCAGGAGAGATCCAGGGGCCCAGCAAGGACAGCCCCTCTTTTTAAAGTTGGACTACAATGTGTCCCTTTCTTTGTCTGATCTCTCTTTTGATAGAAGAGGTCCTAAAATGAGTAAGTGAAACAAGAGAGACCCTTGGTGCTACTGCTGTTACTGCACCAGAACAGCTCGTAGCCTTGGGTCTGAGCTACTGAGGAGAACAGGCAAGAGGTCCAGACTATCTTTTCCCAAGCCAGCTACACCTGCCTCCAGGGCTATAGAGACTGCAGAACCTCTACACTCCTGGGGTGAGGCTCGGCAGAAAGACATATGCAGTAGCTTCCATGCCTCTCCGCCTGATAACCAGTTCCTGAATTTCACAAAGTGATACCCATAATGTCATTTAAACTACCCCGTGTGGCAAAGACATAAAGGATTATTATTCCCTACCCACAGTTATGGCTCACATTTGTACCAGGTCTTACAGTTTATGAAGAATTTGTACCTTGTCTCGGGTTTCCAAATGCCTGATTGAGTCCCCTGGGGACTTTTCTTTCTGAAAATATAGATTCTAAAAACATGGTTTAAGAACTGACAGTTGGTGGGTGAATCTGATCTGCAGAAGTGTTTTATTTGGTAAGAGTTTGAAATATATTCAAATAACATGAAAATAAATAAAATAAAAATTAGTTAATTAAGTTAATTAAATAAAATTAAAATATTATAAAATCATATAAATTGAATTTATATGCCCTTATATACGAATATGTCAGTCTGTGCTGTTTCTTATATTGTTTATTTCTTACTCCCCTTAAAAGAATTTTGAATCTAGAAAGGATGTCATACATTATCCAGCTCTGAGCTCCTCCTGGTAGGGAGTGGGTACCCCTCCTAAAGTACAAAACTTTCTTCCAGGGCCCCATTAAGTCATAGGATAAATATGGGGCACCTTTTTGGAATATCAATTTTGCACAAATATCTGAGAGCCATAAGGTATATAGTAACACGATTTGGAATATCTGTGAAATCAAATGAAAAACTTGCACAGAATTTTTTATAACTTTATATAAAGTAGCAACTTTATGTAAGTTTCCCATTTGTAGTAGTTGGCTTAGCGTGATGCACAGGGGAGGGGAGGACAGAGACACTCATCTTCAGTAGGGGCACTTCATGGGAGGTGTCCAACTCAACCACTTTTCAAATGAGGAAAGTAAGTCCTGATGAGGCTTGCAGAGAAGGGCCTCTTCCTCCACACTGTTGTATTTCACATTCTGTCTAGCAGAAAGCCTTGCGTCTACGAACTCTTGTTGATTTGATTTGATTAGTCCTACCCACACACCCCATCATTTGTGTCACTGGTGAAGGAACTGGGGATTTTAAAGAACCCCTTCTGATTTCACACTCCTTTCTCCCCGGAGGCCTGGCAGGGGAAGGAGGCCAGTCCCGCCCAAGCCTGTGTTGAGCATCATTGCATGGAGTTTGCATCACCATTGAGATGATTAGCAAAGTCCCTTTAAAAAAATCCATGACCTCAGCCTGGAGTTGGCATCTTTCCCTTTGCCTGGAATCTTGAGGGCTCACTTTTATAGTAAACATAAAATGGGAATAGCTTTTTTTCCCATAGCTCCTGAGGATGAAACAAAAGGAAATACATTGACAAGGCATCAGGAGGGACTGGATTAGGTTGAAGAAAAACTGAACGCTGGAAGACCTTTCCAGTATGTAAAAGGATGTTGTTTTGGAAATAGTTAGAAATATTTTTTAGTGTGTCTGGCACTAGAATTGGAAGTCAATAACTTGGAATAAGATACTATTGTGGTGAAACTAGGATGGGGCTAAGTGTTGAAGGGACTAAAGGAAGTATTAAAGGGCTACATGTTGAAGTGTTGTTCGGTGGGGGTGCTTAGTAAAAGAATTGATTTTTAACTGTAGAGTAGGGGCATTTTTACTTACTCATATAATCATTTGTTTAAGCATGTAAATAACAGGCCCTGTGCTGTACTCAATTTTGTAAAGTACATACGACGTGATCCATGAATACCAAGAGACGGAGGCAGCCTGGAAAAGTCAACCTTCAATAATAAGAATGTGTCTACTGCAATAGATGTTGTAACAGAAATCTGTACAAAAAGGCACAGCCAGTGAAAACATCACCAAGGATGTGTTGAAGCTTACTACGAAAGCTCACACATACGCAGCAGACTGTAATAGAAAAAGCACTCACTCTGGTATCAAATCGACCTGGATTCAGACACCAACCAGCCTTGTCACTTTTTAGCTTCACAACCTCTCTGCTGTTCACTTTTCTTACCTGTAAAATGGTCTGAATGATCCTTACCTGATTGAGTTGGGCACACAGATCAAATCAGATTGTGGAAAATATCTAGCTCAGCATCTGGCCCAGATTAGATGCTCAGCATATGCTAGTATACTGTGGAGGTACAAGGAAAATCTCAGCCCGAATGGGGAAAACAAACATTCCAGTTGCTGAATATTTATATTCCTCCATTGTAAACTCAGAAATTGGTAATTTTTTTTGGTCTAGAAGCCAAACTCTTATAAGTTGAGGCAGCCTTTCAGAGCCAACTAAATTCTGAATACACTGACAAAACAGAGTACCTCTCTAGGCCAGAAACCAGCATCTTCCTAGAGTTTATTCCTAACTTCAGTAAGAACTAAGATACTTATCCATAGGTGGGAGGTTTCTTATGAGACTTGTTCATCAATATCTATTCTCCCTTGTTTAATAATATCAGTTCCCAGTTTTAGATGGATATATGGCCACCTAATTAGTGATTACATTTCTCAGCCTGCTTTGCATATTGGCATAACCGTGTGACTAAATTCTGATCAATAAGACGTAAGCAAAAATGTTTTCTGTCACTTCTGGGATGTGCTTCTGGAAGTGCAGGTGTGCTTCCTTGGCTTTTTCCCTTTACCCACTGACTGAAGCAGCCAAGTTGGACCCAAGGAAAGGGTGGAAGTCACAAGTTAAGGGTGGTTGAGCCAACAAACAAGCCCTGAACTTGTTTGGTGGACCATAATCTGGATCATTTGAGGGAAAAACTCACACCTTGTTTAATTCGCCATATTTTGAGATATTTCTGTTACAGCAGGTTATTAATACTAACAATACTAATATTAAAATTGAATGATATAACATGGAAGTACCTAGTTTAGGGCCCAGGATATAGCAGCCACTCAATAAATTGATGTTTAATTTGAATTTTAGAAATTTGACAACTTAAACATTTTCCTGCATGATTAAAGTATGCATGATTAAAGTATGCAAATTATGTGATAAGAACACTGCAGGATTCCAAAAGGAATAGATTATGTCCTCTCTATTAGAATTGGAGCTCCTATTCTAATGGGGGAGCTAGATTCTTTATTGTTTAATTTGAATTTTAGAAATTTGACAACTTAAACATTTTCCTGCATGATTAAAGTATGCAAATTATGTGATAAGAACACTGCAGGATTCCAAAAGGAATGGATTATGTCCTCTCTATTAGAATTGGAGCTCCTATTCTAATGGGGGAGCTAGATTCTTTATTCCTTCTTTTAATGCTTTCACAAGAATGCCCAGCATTATTAATGGAAGTCCAACGATTGTTGCAAGTGGCAAAAACAGCTACTGTCTCCCACTCCCTAAATTTGAGATCCCATCCCCCATAGCAATAACAGTCCAAGTTTCAGTCCCACCATTTAAAAATAACTCCTTGCTGTTATGACATTAATTTTCTGTGGAATATTATCAAATTGTTTTGGAACATACTTCAGAGAGAGTATTCAAGCTTTACCTGTCATTTATCCTTTGTAGAGGACTAATTTACCAAACTGAAGGGGAGTGTGACACATTAAAAATAGATGGGTTTTAACTGGGGGGGGGGCGGTGAGAGGAGTGCTCGACCTAGAAAAGTGATCAGTAATTGCAGGTGTAAAGGTGCTTGATAGAAGTGCCAAGAAGCACAGGCAAAGGTACTCATTCTTTTATTGAGGAGATACCTGAAGAACTTGTGCAAAGCTGGGCCACACAGAGCCAGCTGCCTACTCTAGTCAGAAAGGTGAACCCATCCGGGTGCTGCAATCCCTAGGAAGACACAGCAGCCAGTGCTTCTCCCTGATCAGTGATTCTCAGCATTGGCTGCATGTTAGAACCACCTGGGGAGCTTTAAAAAACTCTGATGTCCAGGTTGCACCCTTCCTTAAGTTGTGGGGGTGTGCTGTGGTTTGAGTGTTTCCCCCAAAACTCATTGAAGCTTGATCCCCATTGTAATAGTGTAAAGAAGGTGGGAAGTCAGACTATGGTATTTGAAAGATGGGGCCTTTGGGAGGTGATTAGATAGTTAGGGCTCTGTCCTCATGAATGGATGAGTCCATTCATGGATTAATGGGTTAATGAATCAGTGGTTTATCACAGGGATGGCACTCATGGCTTTAGAAGAAGAGGAAGAAGCATGTTAGAGATGCTCTTGTTCAGCCTGTTGATATGATTCCCTGCAACTCTGCAGAGCACCCACCAGGAAGAAGGCCCTCACCAGATATGCTCCCTCAACCTTGGACTTCCCAGACTGCAAAATGTAAGAAATAAATTTCTTTATAAATGTATTAGTAGGGCTAGGGCTCACAGACCCCTCAACCCCGTTGTTCAGACTAGGTCTGTAAAGCTATGGCTAATATCAGAATCCTGCCGACGTAGCCAATTGTCAAGCTACACAACTACACCAGTTGTTGAATAAGGCAAATCATAACTACAGCCAAAATGTTTCATTATTTTAGTTATACTAAGTTTCCATTTGTTTTGTCAGGGCTAGGGCTCAGACACTACGAACCCACTGTACAGACTGGGTCACCAGACCCCTCACACGCAGATCCACACTAGGTAATTGGGAAAGATCCCAGGAGCCATTGGCAGATGACCCGAGCTCAGGCCTCAGCAATGGCAGTAGCAGCTTACAGGTCTGGCGGTGGCGGCAGCCTCTTGGAGGGTCCCGGGGGCACTGGTAGCAACAGCCTCCAGCCATAGTAGTGGCCTACCCCAGAGGGTGGGAGATGGCATGGATCAGAGCCATTCATCCTTTATACTTAAGTCATAAACCAGGACACCTGGGTGCACATGCGCAATTACATTAGACAATAACTAAGGAGCACCTGGGCGCATGTGCATATTTACATCAAATGCTTGGTAAGATTCTGAACATCTGAGCGGTCCTGACCATTTTCCTATATTTTCCCAACAGGGTTACAAACCCTTCACATGCAGGTCCACGAGCTATGTAATAGGAAAAGATCCTTGGAGCCGTGGGTAAAAAATTATTAGGCTTTAT